TATATTTTGTTTTCTTGTATTTTATCGCTCTGCTGACCCTTGGGGTCCATTTTATTTTGGTATACCTTTTCTAGGTACGTTAGCCTGTGACCACGGAAATTGGCCGAGTCAAGTGATGGATTAGTACGGAGAGATTGAGACAGAAGGGAGGTACTGGATAGAGAGACCGGGATTGTTTTTAATGTGAAGACAACAACAACAACAACAACAACAACAACTCTTTGCGCGGCACACAACAGGTTGACTTGGTGTTGCTCACCATAGGGCAGCGGTAAAAGCGCAATGAGCAGCACCCGACACAGAGGATAACACACTTAGAAAAATCATATCCACCCGGCCTGCTGTTTTCAGATTTCAGCAGCAACACGCGCAGGGCAGAGTGTCGCAGTCCTTAACCTTCAGCTAGCAACACCTAGGTTGCTTGCGATTCCGTTTGCCAGCATTTTTTTTCACGGTTGCGACTCCCATCTTTTGACCACCACCTACCCAAAGGTAGACGGGCTCAACAATCATAAGGCGGCAGCCGCGCTGACGCCCAGCATGATCTAGATGGCCAATCCGAAAGAATTAGCGTGTCGGAGGCCCTGTTGCTCTTCTTCTGCTGCGTGGTGCCGTGGATTGATGTTGACGTGTCCGACCAAAAACAGATCATCTCGCCGCATTTTTCCCCACGCTCGGCATTTTGGTGAGGTGGCACACGTCTCTCACACACCTTATTGGGCAGCACCCAAGCACCCAATACCCACGAAGCAGCACGGCGCCGGGAGATGTTATCATATAGACAGCCAAACCGAAGGAATCAGCGCGTTGGAGGTCTTGGTGCTGCTGCTGTAGTCGTTCTACTGTTTCCGTGTTGCGATGTGTGATTGAAAAAAATTCCCCAGCACCAACACAGCAGTAGCGTGGACTATGCATTCATCATGCATGGACTATGGTGAGAGTATTGAAGTGCTTCCTCCACGGACACAGCATGCATGGTGATTTCGTGCTATCTAGAAAAGTTGCACTTAGTACTTAATATTAAAGCGTGCGCGCGCGTGGGTTGGTTGAGCAGGTAGACTTATGATCAGCACGCACGCGCGCGGTCCAACGCCCTACAAACTGATGAAGTGATTATCTAAATCTCAGGATCGTGACCACTACAGCAGCGTATGAAACCACCTATGTATGTACGCCGACTACAATAGATATGCCAAATGACAGGAATGACGTATGAAATCGGGTGACAACCCGCCCACCCTTTCTTTGTCTTGTAAACCATGCGCAAAAAGTAATCTGAAATCAACCATTAAGTACCCAGCACGCGTGCACTCATATTTCTGCCTGCAACCTGTAGATACGACCCCCCTGTGTCCCTGTCTGTGTCGAGGTCGGCGCGCCCGAAGTCCTGCTCCTGAGCCAACACTCGACCACTATAATAGGCTACTGGTATGCTGTTAGAGAAGGGTGGACACAGGAAGAAGGAATCCATGGCGGGACGCAGACGCGCTCTTTGTTGTAGAAGCTGAAACAACGGCATCGTCTCGGCCGCCCTCCCGACTGCTGCGCGGTTCCTCCAACTTCGCAACCTCAGATTGGTGTTCTTGTTCATTTGGAACGTGGACGTACATAGCCAACAACCCACGGGGAACAGAGTTTAACCGTTCGAGATGGCAAGCAAGCCGTTCAAAGAGATGTGTGTATTATGCGTGAACATGTATGTGCTGAAATCTTGACAGCATCAGTGTTCGTGCGCCCTTGCCGAGCCCGGGCGCTCTAGGGCTTTCGGCATACGACTGGCCACAACACAACAACGATCGTTACACGCAAGTGGCACGGTTGCGGTCCGTTGGACTGGAGAAATGTAGGGTGCCACTGCACGGCGATGAGGTCATTTTCCGTCGTTTCGCGCACATCTTCCCGTATGCATACGCCTTTTTTTCCGCCGGGAGCCGCTCTGGATTCCAGGGTCCGGGGGGTAAAGTTCTTTAAAGGACGGTCCAAATGGGTTCCACGCAAGTGCTGACCAGCAGCGCATTATCACATATAGGGCGGGGGGCACAGACGTCACCGAGAACAGAGGCGGTGGGATCCAAACTGCCAGGACCTGCCATTCCCGGGTTCTGGAACATCCAAGAAGAAAACCAGAAAAACTAAACCGAATTATTGCGCGCAAGAAAACAACGTCTTTGTAGGAAATTTCCAGAACATTGTTCGCGGCCGAAACGAGACGGGTCGAAAAATTATATTCCGTTTCGAAAGTAAGAGCCGGTAGATGCCGCGTGAAGCGGCGACGGGAAAGAATAGGAGATCTTCTTTGTGGTCTGATTTTGCTGGCGACAGTTCGTCAGTTCGTCCGCCCCCTGGCCGTTCGCGCAAAAAACAGAAAGGTCCCTGGCCGTTACACACGCTTGCCCCTGTGAGGGCACCGGGTTGTCTGCACACACAAAACACTTGGCTTCTTGCTTTGAAGTAGAACTTCCCACCCAATCGCCGTTTCACGTGATCTCTCGGCAAGTCAGAACTGCGAAGGAGATCGCACTCTCTCTCATCCCTTCAGCTCCACCCCTTGCTCCGTCCCCTCTGGTTCCACACCCACGCACACGTCAACAACGCGAGAACTAGAGTGCGAACACCTTGGTTTGGTTGCTGCACCCCCTGGCGCCACCGATCCGTCATCGCAAAGCATCCATTAGCTTTCAGGACTGCATCTGCGGCTCGGGATACATCTGTGGTGGGCGTTTCCTGGCAGCTTTCCCGCTCCACTCCAAACAAGCAAAGGAGCAACGGACCGATCGGTCACCAACTCTCCTATCGTTCGTCCACCTTGTTCTTCATTCTTCACACATCTTCCCCACGGAGGTTGTGCTCCCTATCGACTATTACCATGAGCGAGCTGAGTCGCCTGCTGCCTCGCGGCGAGGAGGATACGGACTTGCTGTGCGTCGAGGTCTCCGCCTTGGGCCAGGCTCCGGTGCCGGCAACAAGGCTGCCCCGCGTGTCGTGCGACGGCTGGCAGCTGCAGGAGAAGCAGGAAGTTTTCCGTGATGGCAGCGCGGATCAAGCTCACGAGGAGTTCTTGACGTCCCTTCTCGCCAAGACCAACGCGTACCGTCCCTTGGAGACTAGCTGGCAGGTCATGGAGGACGCGGGTGAGACAGAAAACAACCGTGGTACACAGCAGTGTAGTGCAGACTACGTTTGGATTCGTCTACTGCTGTAGAGTACCGCTCCGCCGCATGTTATCTTTGCACATTGCTTATATTCGTAGCAGGACAAAGTTAAGGTTTGTTCGGCCTCTGAGGAAAAAGATCTACCGATAGAAGCAGTTGACGAACGACCGTGGTGGTCCCGTTGGGTCGTACACAATGATGTTGCAGCGATGGCCACCTGTCGTGCTTGGCTCTTTGGATATAGAGCCGGGGAACACGTGGCGGGAAAGGAGAGCACGGAGTGTGGTACACCCGGGTTCGGGGAGGGATAAGGGAGGAACATGATGTTTGAGGTCAGGGCAATTTCTACAACAGCAGAGGCTCGATTTCGACCATGCACCTCAACGCTTCATCTTACCGTGTGATCATTGTAGATCACTGCTGCTGGCCGATTGCTTACTTCATCGTATGCATACCCATTTTCCTGCACAACTTCCAGCATGATCCCCGTTACTACGCTTCCGTTGTCTGCTTGACCGTTTTTTCTCGACACGCAGAGTTTCTCGACATGCGAGGCGCCGTGGTGAACTGGTTTGCCAAGGTGTCCGTTTCGTACGACTTCGCCAACGAGACGGTAGTGGCGGCCTTAAGCCACTTCGATAGGTGAGCAGAAGCAGCAGTGGCCGCTGTCTTGAAGTTCTTCCTGTTCACGTCGTGTTGCGGTCGCGTCGAGTTAGCCCTTCCGGGGGAACTCTCAACGCGGCCTCTTTTCTCTGATCAGCAGCAGGTTACATATGATTCATCTCGTACCCGTCGCCACCTGCTTTGCGCATATCCACTCAGCAAGTATTCTCCCGTGACCTATTTTCCTGCGACCGGAGAGGACCGGCGACGCGTGTTACCACGTGGCAGAGAACATGTTCGTCTTCGTCCCAAGACAGCCGTCGCTCTGGCCCTCGCACGTCCCTCCTCGTGTTCTTTGTGTGGTCTCGCTTTCTCTCGCTCGCCCTCTCAACTCCGCCAACTTCCTTCGTGTTCCCCGCGCTCTA